TGTGTGTGTGTGTGTGTGTGTGTGTGTGTGTGTGTGTGTGTGTGTGTAATATATACAATCAAATCTTCTCCTTGACCAACTTTTGCTCTTCCAAATTCCTACTTGTTTTGTCCTTGCTCTTTGTTTGTCTTTAAATTGAAACTTCTGGAGCAGAAGTTGTACACTGTAAACGAAAAGATTCCAGCCAAAGTCCACTTAGTTTGTCTTGTATGTGTTCAAGGTAGAGACAGAAACAGAGGTCCAAGCTAAACAGATGGAAGACGACACGGGCAGCCAGAACCCCCTTTCCTATTCAACTACAAAGAGCCTACTGTGGGTCGTGTGCTGATTGGGTGATAATTGTTAGGTCTGGAAAAAGGATGACATCTCTGAGGGCATGCTGACATGAACATTAATATCTAGAAGAAAAAAAAAACCTTCACAATGACCTGCAGCAGTCGACAATGAAAAGGCAAAAAAAACTACATTTCCTCACAAGATAACGTCCTAAAAGAGGGAAATGAAAAAGAGTAAGCTCACCGAATGAGGTGGGGGGGAAAAAGAGGTGAAGAGACTCACAAAGCAGCCAGCTTTTCCTTGTGATTTACTGAAGGTTGTGACTATTAAGCACAGGCTATTTTTCTCTCCGTTTCTGCTTCTTTTTCCTCTCAACTCCTCTCCCTTACTTGTTCTCTCCATCTCAGTGCATGACTTGGCTGGTGCAGCGGAGGCCCGGCTCAATTGTGCAATTTCATACATGTTTACTTTACTGGCATCTTTCTGAGCATATTTTCCCCCGAACATTTCCCCTCACATTATTCTGCATTTCCTCTACAACGATATGCTGCCTTTAATCTCCCTCTTTAAGCCCTTTCTTGGCTTGAGGATCCGAATACAATAACGATGTCAGACTTTTTTTTTATTATTTGGCCCGTCATCTCCTGTATTTTAACACATGCCACAAAGTTCGTTTTGGAAATTGATCAGGGCTTAAAGAAAAAGAAAGTAGCTCCTCACATAAACATTTAGACAACTGTCTTCTTCAGCATGAAAAACAGCTGGAAGTAAGTGGATCATGGGAGAGGAGGGAGGCAGCGGGGGTTGTGGGTCAACGGTTTGTGTTGAGTGTAAAAAGAGAGAAGGGACAGAGAGAGAGAGAGAGAGAGAGAGAGAGAGAGAGAGAGAGGTGAGGAGGGAAGCTGTGCTTCGAGGTAACAAGGGCGGTGAACGAGCGTGGCCAAGCTCTGCACAGGGAGGAAGAGGAGGAAAGCAAAAGAGAGCAAAGAGCCAGAAGAAAGGCAATTGTGGGACTTCTAGGGGATCATAAGAGTAATAAAAAAATCACAATACAATGATTTTTCCAGAAAAGTGCAGTTTGGGGAAATAAATCTAAAGCAGCTGCTTGTAATAAAGACTCTTGAAAGTGTCAAATCTCTCTCTTGTACTTCACCCTGCTACACTGTGGGAAAGGCGTTCAGACATGTAGATGGGCAGGTGCACTATGTGGACACATCAGAGCACCTACACACACAGGCATACATACAAGTTATTGCAGTTATATTGAAGGCACGTTTGCATTGGTTGACTTAAGAGTCAGTTTTTGGTTTCAACACCAAAACAAGGCTTGATTATTGATATCATTCGGCTCTAGCTTACATTTAAAATGAACTCTTGTAAAAAAGAAATATGTACACTGGACAATAGTGGCATGTCTGCGCTGTGCTCTCAAGCCACATTAGCCACAAAGAGAATGGCTTTCATAATAAGGCAAAGTCAAAGTTGGTCAGAAGCTTAGCTCGACAACGCAACCCGTGGAAACTACAAATATTGTCTCTGACTTTTGCTTTGAGCATCTGCGATGTCTGCTAAATGCTTCAGTTCTTTTGGCACACATTGTGAAATACAATAAATGTCAAATAGCGCTATGATTGCAGATCAGAGTCACACAGGTGACCTCAGCCCGCTGGCGCTGGTAGAAAGCTTAAAGGCATACTTTGAATTTTTCAACATTTAACCTAAACCCTTTTTTGGTCTACGCAGGACCATTGGAACTCATCCTGGTTTTTACTTCTATATTGTTAGTGTTATAAAAGCTACGGCCCCGGGATGCTCGCCATAACAATATTAGAGAGGAATGAAGTGGCCTAAATAATAAAATGTTGGTGGTTTCACTTACTGCTTTCATTTATATTTATTATATCAATTAATGTAGCTAATAAATAGTTTTAGATGCCTGATTGTATTACTTTTCAAAACATCTTCATCTAAACCACTTTGGTGGCAATGAGAGGTTTTCTGGGTTGTTATGTCAAATAAATAACATTAATAAAGGCATGTGGCATAAAACCCCAAGGGGCGCATGGCTACACCAGTAAATTGAAACAAGACTTTTGTAATTTCAATAATTGAATCAACAACAGAGCAATAAAAATACTGCCAGTTTTTTAATTGTGATTTACATTATAGTTTCTAGGCCCTCCATAATGATCAACCCTGCCCCAATTAAAAATAGATATTTAAAAATATGTAAAAATACCGGGATGAATTCCTGTGACCAAAAGGACGTCAAACCATTTTATCCTCAATGTCCTCAAATTGTAAGAGAATGTCGAAATCGCCGCGCGGCCCTTGAAAGCCCGTGATGTCGTATCACCGTGACACTGAGCAGAGGTCTATTCCCAAAGAGCAAAGAGGGGAAGGAAAAGAGAAGATACAGTCTACTTGTTTTCTGAATGGAGGGTTTCAGAAGTACGAACAGGCTTTCATACTGAGACAATGGCTCGCATCCACCCTGCTGCGCCGTCCCTGCTCCTCTCCCTCCCCATTCTCCGTCTCTCTATCTGCCTCTGAGCAGAAACACACGGCACATCCTGCTCAACACAACACACCAGCCAAAAGTTCACTTCCTGCTCCTTAGCTCTTCTCCTTCACACCGACCCTATTCCCAGGACATGCATTAACGGCCCTCCGTACGCTCAAATGGCATTGGAACATACAAACAGACAAGCAAACGCTTCCCCTCTCTATAGATACACAACCCTCGCCCTCCGTCTGTCATACACATTAATGCAATTAAGCAAATTTCAAACAGTGCACATCCTACAGAAGTGTTCAGCCATTATCTTGCTCTTCCCTCCTGCACAGATTTGGAGTGACAGTGGAAACGCTTTCTGTTATTTTAATGGTGTAAGGCATGGAAAAGGAGGAGACCGACTTTCATTTAAACTAGTGAATGAGAAGGAGTGAGAGGACTGAAATTCCCACGTCTGTTACTTCCTTCTCCCCCAACATTTTTAGCACGTATGCACAAGCTTGTGGACCGAGCACTTACTGTTTAATTGATGCTATCCTTTCTTTTTATTTGTCAAAGAGCTAAACGAAAAAGTCCCAAAACTTGAAGCGTCATCCAAAACAAGCTGACTTCCTGTGTGTTTGTGTGTATGGGCAGCCTCGGTCTGACTCCCGTCATTGAAGGTTCACTAACCTCTGGAGAAAAGGGGTCACACAATATGAGGCTAGTGTTCATACTCGCCCTGCAAAGCCACTGCTCGTCTGTTTAGGGAAGTACTGGGAATACATTATGTCTTGTGGAGACATTTCAAAGCACAACACCTGTCACCTAGACCTTGTATGTGTGGTTGATACCAAAGGTTGATGCTCACTAAAGTGAGGTTTAGAAATTCACAAACAGCCAGTTAAGATACTACCAAAATTACTTTGCCTTATGTTGTAACAATGGAATTGGTCAAATTGGAGTTGGAGAATTGAAGAAACCTCACCACAACAAACCTCTTTGAGGACAACACAATAGAAAATGTATACCGCATAGTAAAAATAAAAACAAAAAATATGTTAATATCACATGTTATCTCTCCATCATAAAACTGTAACAAGAAATGTATAAACACAGAAATAACCACAGGTTTAACACAGGACAACTGCCCTGTTAATATGAAAATAAAAAAAACTGTGTGTGAGTGTGTGCATGTGTGTCTGTGTAATTGTGTGTGTGTTGATAATTCAAAGGTTTAGTAAAGCTTAGCGTCCCCATGCTGGGTTCAGTCCTGAGGTAAGCACCAGTTTCACGTGCGCTGCTTTCAGTTCAAATCAAAATAAAGAAAAGTAAGTGACAGAAAACAACATGTTTGATATGATGATATGCTACAGAAAAGAGAAGCCCTTAAATTATTGTTACATTTAAAAAATAAAAAAAAACAATCTCAAAAGTCAGGCACGTTGTCTCTGTGTTTTTCTTTTTAGCCTTTAAGATTTACCACGTCTATCACAGTGTATTTATGGCTTTAGTCTTCACATTCACCCACTGAGGTTGGCATTGGCACTATAGTGGTCAGACATTTTTGATCTGAATCAAGGACCAGTACAAGTGGAAAAAAAGGAAAAGAAAAGGCCAGCATGTTCTTTGGAATAAACATTTTAAAGACAAAAATGTGCCGTCAACCCGCAACCTTTAAGTGCTCTTTTGTTTTCAAGCTGGAGGAACTGCTGGTCAGCCAACACAGAAATATGTCATTCTTTGTTTCCGCGTCTGATACCAGCGGGGAAGGGAGGCCAGGCCGGCAGACATTTGCTAGGCTCGGATATGATGTTAATAAGTGGATCAGAGGGGTAAGATGGCAGGCATGAAATGGGACATCATGCCGGCGTGCAGTGGGAATTGTCCAGGAGAAAGTGAAATTTCACAGGGATTACTGAGGCCCAGCAGCTGGGATGTGCTGTTCACCCGCTGGCTTCCAGGGAAGACCCACAAACCCCTTCTTATGTTCATATCACAGACAGATTAGCAGCTCACTAAGTGTGTGTGTGTGTGTGTGTGTGGAGGGAGGTGGGGTGTATATATGTGTGTGGTGAGTGGAGTGGAGCGCGTTTAAAGCAAAGGCTCTCACTTTGGCCTGTCAACAGTAGCAGGGGTCCCAGACAACAGACTACAGGGGAGGGAGGCCAAATGAGAGGTCTGACAGCGGAGCTGCAACACGGCATCCGACTACTGCCGCTACATGATGAATCATTGTGCTGCTGTAAATAGAGTAATTGCTCCTGATAGTAACTGACACATTTCTGTGCAAATAATTCTGTCCGAGCCTTTTCTGATTGGCTGCAACGGTAATTGCAAATACTACACAATGTCAGAGGCAACACCCAAGTTTCGTCTGCACCATGAGATGAAGCTGCACTCATCATGAACAGGGATTAGTGTGTCATCAGTTGGGTATGTGTAATGATGTCCCAGTTATGAGATCACAGGGCTGTGCTTACTGCCTCTCAATAACAACTGAAAGCTAAGGGATGTTAGTCAAAATGCAAAGGAAGCTTTAGCTCAAGATGGTTTACACGCGTGTAAGGCTGATTAAGCTACTATAACTGTCACATAGTAGGAGCCTTTATCCGCACAAAATACGTGGGGGAGTGGGTTACTTTTCAAAATGTGGAGGAAATAAAACAGAGGACACTTTACCGAAATGCCGAAGCAATTGCTCTTATCGTTTAGTCATTTCCTTGCGACTTGGGAAGCATGAGCATGATTTGGAGAAGCTGGAGAGTGAGATACATAAATTGTCCAGTACCCCCACAACAGAAAAAAAAGAAAAAGAAAAAAGATACATCCACCCATTACTTTAAAGTCCAGAAGAGTTGGCGTATACATTTGGTAAAAGTTCCGCTCAGGTCTGGACCGAAACCCTGAATCTTGTCCTTATGTGCATTTTCATTTTTTGTAAAAAGATGATATTTAATAGTACACAGGTTTAGGGTCAGATTGCAACGTTTCCTTGCAACAGTTTCTCTTTGGAGTTCACAATAATAGAAAAATAAATAAAACAATTTCATTTGGGTTTTCAATTTGTCACTTTGGCTCAATGGCTGTAATTTTCAAACGTTTTTTTGCATACACTGTACATAAATACTGTACTTGTTTGAGTGAGTGTCTCTTGGTCACGAAATAGCACAGAGCTCCTTTATGAAGGAGGACTTAAAGATACATTAGATGCATAGAAAGGCACTTACAGTCTACACATGTTGGTGTGCATGAACAGACCAATTCCTCTTGGCCTGAGTCTGAGGTGCAGTGGAGATATTGAGTTGAGGTGAATGGCTTTAGAATACTGCAAGTTATGTGTGCACACACAGACCTATCGGTGAATGCCATTTATACAGGTCCTGTGGTCTTAGCTGGGTGAGTAGCGGTCAATGGTGCGGGCTTCGGAGAGCGCCTGTTGGGGAGGGGGGAGGGGTTGGCCCAGGACGTCCATCTTGTCGTGGGAGAGGCCCAGGTGCTCTGAGGCCAGTTTGGACAGCGGGTAAAGGCTTTCTATGACCTTTGCATCAGCAACAAGTTGCTGCTGGGCTTGGATGAGAAGCTCATTGGCCTTCTCCTGCTTCAGCCCCAGATGCTCTGCTGCATATTTACTCAGAGGATAGATGCCTTCAGCAAAGTCCAGCTTCAGCTTCCCATCTGTGGTCAGGCCCCCCGCAGTCCCTCCACTGCTGTGCATCTTCATGTGGCTGATGAGGTTGCGCTGCTGAGCGAACTTTCCCCCGCACACCTGACATTCATAGGGCTTCTCCCCGGAGTGGATGCGCATGTGCTCGGTGAGGCGATACTGGCGGGTGAAGCGCATGCCACAGGAGTCGCAGGCAAAAGGTTTAAGGCCCAGGTGGCTGCGCATGTGGCGGGTCATGGTGCCCCGCTGCGTGAACTTCTTGCCACAGATGCTGCAAGGGTAAGGCCGAGTCAGCCAGTGGGTCTTCTCATGCTGCCGCAAAGTGGCTGGGTCTTTGTAGGACTTCTCGCAGGAGGAACAGCGGTAGGGTCGGATCATCTCTCCGATGCCCCCTGAGCTCAGCCCATGGCTGGACTTGGTGTCCAGGTGGGACAGACTGTTCAAACTGCTCCCATAACCGTTTGTATTACTGCTTATGTTTTTGGTGCTGCTGTTATTGCTGTTTCCCATCTCGCCACCAGAGTTGCCATACAGCTCTTCTTCCGTGTGTGTCTCCACGTGTGCATTGAGCTGCTCTGAGCTCGGGAAGCCTTTGTCACAGGGGATGCAGACATATAGATTGTCCCCGAAGCTCTCTGGCTCATACGGCATGTGGAACCTCCCCATCGGTCCAGAAGGGGACGGGCGGCCTTCACTACTGCCTGTCTCCTCTGTGCCTGACCCGCTCTTGTCGTCGGCTCCTTCACTCTCCTCCCCAGCCTTGTTGTGGTTATGATGCTGGTTTCCATTTTCACCCCCTTCCTCCTCATCCTCATCCTCATCTTCATCTTCAGCTGTGTATGATAGTGGCTCATGTTTCACCCAGCGGTAGATGTTGCCCATATCTCTGCCCGTCTCTCCAGCTTCCGTTGGGGTGTCAGGGCTGGGGGGACATGGGTAGCGATCTCTGGCCTGGGAGCCTGAGCGGTGCAGGTGGGGGAGGTGTGGGCCAAGAGGCTGGTTGAGATGGGGGAAATGTGGAGGAGTGAGGGAGCTTGCCTGGTCGGTGGACTCCATTTTTTCTGAGGGGAAGGCCCTTCCATTCATTCTCTGCATGGGACTGGCGCGGCCGCTCAGGGTCCCGTCTCGCTCGTCATTATTGTGAGCGTTTGCCAGATGGGATCGAGAGGGTGTGTGCTGTGACTGGGAGTTGGGGCTTTTCTTGGAGAGATCCAGGCCGTAGTTGGGGGAGCAGTTCCTCTCAGGGTGGGCTGAGCGCCCAAGCTGGGCGGGCAGAGCAGACTGCAGGGACGGGAACACCTGACAGCCCTGGATGGAGGTTGGAGCATACAGCTCCCCAGCATGAATGGCTAGTCGATGGGGAACTAGCTCCTCTAGTGGTGATGCCCGGGTTGCATGGCTGTTCAAAATTCCTCCTGGAGGGCAGGATTGAATGACAGGAGTAGAAATCCTATACCTGCCACCACTCCCTAAACCCATGCTATTGGGCCCCATCTTTGGGTAGGGCAGAAATGCAGGACCTGGGCGGGGAGGGTACTTGCCATTTCTTTTCAGCTTCTTTTTGCACAAAGCCACTAAGTCAAGCAGCTGAAGGTAGCTGGCTGCTGCCAAGACAGCCCCTAGATTGGGTTCAGTGGGAGAAGTGGGGTCTCCCTCACTAAGGCGGCCTGTGTAGATGTAGTCCAGAATGACCCTGAAGACCCCTGGACTCACCATCTCGTGGTCGAGGTTGATGAGATTGTCATGGACCACCAAAGATTTCAAGTAGAGGCTACTGGCAGCCAGAATGTTCTTGTGAGCTCTGAAGAGGGCGTTCTGCACCACAATGATAACATCACACAGGAAGCCTTTGGTTCGTTGGCTGTTGAGCTGCAGGAGGAGATCCCTAGCATGACTTGGAACTTCCATGGCACCCAGCATCGTCTTCAGTCCGCCACCTGCAACAACAGATATCTGTAAAACATCATGCGGCAGTCAGCTTTTCAATACACAAAAGCACAATAAATGTGTCATTTTTTTTGCACCACGAAAATGATTATTGATGCATTGTATAAAAATAATCTATGAAATCTATGATTTATACATCAGACTATATTAAAGTATATTTCAGAGGTTTTGTGTGCCAAAACGTTTGATTGCCTTCACAAGAGTTTTAAAAAAATTGCAAAAATATGCATTCACATACATCTATGAGGATTAATATAGATTAATGAATTAATGAATTAATAACAGATTTCCTTTAGAAACGCGACACATCACTTAATTGAATTGCATTTTTAAGCAAATTCATCGTAACAGCTCCAGTTTAATACATCTTGTTTAAATCATTGATTCCACTGAATGGAACATGCACAAAAGCAGAATTTATGTGGGAAAGTGCACGTGGATGCTACTCTGTAGAAGTGAACTTTAGCTAAAGGTGAGCAGTTGCAATGGTTTTCTCATTATCAGAAATTCAAGTCAACGCATTCACTTCCTCTGCAAGAAGAAAGAAAAAACTGAATTCAGAGAACGGCAGATCTATATTTTGTAACCGCTGGCTTCCTGATAAAGTATTCCAGAAGTAGTGTGCAGGGTTTTAAACAAACCAAGGGATGAACGTTTCACAAGTATGATGAACAGCAGGTATAAAACCTGTGAGAGAAGCACACATCCCAAAAAAAAGATAGTTATTTCGGCTCCCCTTTCTGCCCAGTAATATAAGTAACACCGAACGCACCCGATGTTACATGGTTCAATATTTTACGTTGAAATGAGCTCCAGGAATCTAATGCGCGCACACACACAGATTCACACACACACACTCAAACAGCAACACTAATTGTTCCATCAAGCCTAAAATAAATGCATGAAACACCGAGTATTGTTCAACCAGTGGCATCTGAGGATAGTTTACATGTGAGATAAAACGTCTCGAACTGTCCCTAAGGGCTTAGTCTCACTGATGGGAAACAAGCTACTAAATAAATATCATGTCATCCGTCTGATTATGGTCTTCCTGACACCAGCTCATTCACTTCTTGTTTATTTCATTCGGTGTGCACGCTCAGCACAAGAACAGGGAAGTATGAATTTGGGTAAAATAGACCCAGACAAATGAGTTACTATGGAATTCTGGAGAACACTGAACAAAAAGTAATATGACTATTATCTTCTCTCACAGTAAAAAAAAGAAAGGTTCAGTCCGAAACCTCAAGGTCACTCGTAAATACAATTGTAGATGTGTATTTTGTTAAATGCATGTTCAGCATCAGGCGTATAACATCAGAAGGAAACTCTGATTTCATCACTGATGAAACGGAAAATGAAAAGTTAGAACAATCATGACGTCCAGCTAGTGATCATGCGGAGAACAGTCATCCCTGTTGAAGAAAAAATATATCTTTCTATGAAAAGTATTATTAGGTTCTGTCCTAATACCTACACGTATGACTTGTATGCTATTTAGTATTTATTATTTGGTCATGAATATAAAATTTCAAAAAATGCTATGAATTAGAAGGTGGGTAGGGCAGGTTTAGATATTTACTCTCCATCATGTCCCCAGTTGTCATCTAAAGTGTTTCCACTTCTGGTTTCTGTCTGGCTTTGATTACTCAACGGTCATATTTTACTATAAATTTCATTGTCGGTTAGATCAAACGTGTTTAGAAATGAGAGTGATATGAGGAATAGACCAAGTACTTTCCACAGCATGCTGCACTTTTGCAGAGTCTATTGCATTAAGGGGTGTTTAGCTTACTGTTACTGTGACTGGTTACTGCGTGGAGCATGGTGACATGTTGTGTACTCACACACACGCACACAATCAGTGTGCATTCTGGTCTGTATGCGGTCTACAGTGCTGTATTATGTATTTATTGCATCACAGAGCATAAAATAAAGTTATTCTTTACATTCTGATTCATGACATTAGATTTTTTTTTTTTAAGAGCTTTTAAATCCACATTTGATATATCCTTGCACATTTTGTAAAATCTTTTGTGATGCAAGAAAAAAAAAATCTCACGCCCCAAGCAACATTTCTGAACATTTCTGTGCACCTGCACTGTGCTGTGCGTACAACTAAATAATTTTGGTACTGTCTTGTGGTAACAACAGTCTAGGTGTGGGTTTGCCATCAAGAGTCTCTCTTTTCTCGTTGTGATCAGTATGAGTCTTTTGAGAAGCTATAACTTGCCTTTTAAAATATCTGAGCTCACTGTTTGATGTAGCCTATACTGACAAAAAAAAGAAAGATAACAGTAAAACATGTTTTATAAAACTCTTGATCTGGAGGCCATGTGTCAGCCCACAGCATCCTGTTCGGAAGCTACCTATGATCGCAATGATTTTTAGTGAGAGAACACATCTTAGAGCAAGCTATACTGTTCTTGTAAGCATACAAAGCTTGCAGTACAGCTTGTTTTGTCAGTCTGTTGTGTTAAACAGGCTAAATTAAATCATTGATCTAGGTTGCTCTTAGAGTCCTGGGAGACAGTTATTTACGTCATTCTGATGCATGTCTGTTTCCATCTGACAGCATTCTTTTTAATGACCCGTCAACATGCTGGAAACTTAGATGATGGTGATATAGTTTGCATCGATGACATTCAGTTATTTGCATTAGGTTAATATTCATTGCCCCTTGGTTTTCTCTGTTTTGTCACTTTTGTGGTTTGGGATGAAGCGGGAGACTAAACTTCCTATACATGCAGCCTCAGTGACATAAACACTCCAGACATCTGCTTAAAACATTGTGTTGACATTTTGTTTTCTTACATTTCAATTTGCTGGCCATGCTCATGCCTCCTTGTTTATTTTAGAACCCATTTGACCATGTTCATATACAACCCTTGTTCAATTTATGAGGCAACACTGCAGTACAAAGTCAGAATAAAATAGCAAGCATATATTTTACTGTCGTTTTATACCTTTTTCATCCAACTCGTACATTTTTTTTGTGATTTTTTTGTGATTCATAAGAGGCAAATACACGCATTAAATAAAAGACTGAGTTTGACATTTAGGTTAGAAAAACTGCATCCCGAAGCGCAGATCGAGCAGCAGCACCCATGATAGGTGAATACGTTGAGTTTCAGTCTGGTCATCAAACATCATGGAGCATAAGAGTCAGTTTCCTGTGTAATTGCGCATCTAAAAACCATCACACATTTATAAAATACTGTCGGAAGTATGACAGCGTCTTAATCTTGATGGGAACCGAGTAACCGTTTATTTAGAGAGCAGATAACGTATTAATCAAATTAATATGATAATCAACACGTACATTTATTATCGTGCAGATTCTACTGCAGACTATTGAATTGTATGAACGTTACTTGCATTGTTTATTTTTTTTTATAAATTCTTCTAATCCATAGACTATTTATTTGAAAATTACATTCAATTTAAGCTATGAAAGTTGTATCTGCCAGTGGCACGGTTTATCGATCAGCACGTTTTGAAGTGCATCGCCTGATAAGATTTGAGTACTTCACGTCCCGTTTTGCAAGCAAAGCATCAAGTTGTCTGCTGATTTTGTGCGTCGCGCGCCTCCTCTCTGTGTCTCTAATCTGTTTTACTCTTTAGGCTACTCCTCACATATTGTGCAGTAAACCGAATCACGAGTGGCCGCATCTCTTTGCGCTGCAGCGCCTCGTCCTACAAAAGTGCACGTTATCTCCGCCAAAATAGCCTTAGATCGCCTCCAGAAGCGGACCTGTTTTCAGCTCATAGTAGGCTTCTTCAGGGACAATCAGACTTCTTCACTGCTGTCAACAGCGCTGGAGCTTCTTTTATAGGCTACATGTATATAGAGTACTGGATTTTATACAGGAAACCAGAAATTCATAAACTTAAATATCCCCCCCAAAAAATATTCCTATAATATTTGTTGGTGTGTCTGTGTTCGCCTAAACTCAGTAGTGACATTATTACACACAGTGCTGGGCCTGTTTTACATTGTCTAATAGAGACACGATCATGATTTTACTGTTGCTTCCTTCTTAAAATTATTACTGAAGAAGTTGAAGTTCCCCTTTAACAGAGGGCGATGTTCTCTTTAACTTTTGCGTTAAATTCGAGTTAAAAAAACCATTTAAATATAATTAAACTTGAAGGTGATATCTTAAAAAAAAAAAAACACTGATGTGTTTAAAGTGAAACAGAGTCGTTGTTCTTTTACATACATTTGCAGATTTTTGAAGCATATTGTAATCTGCATTCGTCATTACATTTGACTGATCCGGAATGACTTTACTAATTAATTGAGTGTCCTACGGCTAATTATTTATTCGAAATATAAAAGAATACATATTTTCGACCGACTCCAATTAAATGCAGAAAGAAGAATAAGCGGAGCCTCCCTTGTCGATATTAAAATCATACTGGAATAAAAACGAGGCAAAACGCGACATGATATAAAATACAAATATGTCAACGATTCATTGAAAAAAACATATTTACTCTCTGGCACCATGCACCGCACAGTGTAACGGATAAACCCCTAAATGTCAAGCTTCCCCTGTTCTGGTTTGGGGGCCTGTGCGTGTAAAGCATATCAGCTCTTACCTGCATGCCCGATGTCTTCTGCCATCGGATCTAAGTCTCCCTTAATGATCATCTCAGCAGTCTAGGAGTCATATCTGACGTTTCAGCTTTGAACTGCCAGCCTCCAAAAAACCATGCCAGTTTTCCGAGCGCGTCTGCCAGCTCTTTTTTTATGATTATTAATTGATATGAATTTCTTGTCGCTCCTTAGGTCCGTCCTCCCACCCACTTTCCTCCCTCTCCCTCTTTCTGTGTGTCTCTCTGCCCCTCCTCTCCCCTCTTTCTCATCCCTTTCTATAAAAAAATACGTGCTTAGACCAGCACCAGTTTCCTCCTATTTCTTTTTTCTAGTAATTTCCTTAGCTATTTTTGAGTCGGAGCAATAACGCGCACCGGTATGATAATGAAGCCTCTATGCGCCTTAAGTGTTTTAGCGCCCCGTGTGATGTCAGTCTATAATAAAACTAAAAGGTAAGATAGAGGGCAGGAACTTCAAGTGACCCCGACTTGAACTTCTCAACACATCGTCTTAAAGAGACAGGCAACCATTGTATACGCACGTATGTTGCATATTTATGATCTGGCAGCCCACTAAAACGTTTGAAAAACTTTAATGATGGATAGAACTGGTAACATCAAGAGTTGTTGGAGCTTTTCATGTCAAGGACCTTCAAGGAATTAGACTCCCCCCGAGCACCACCACCATATGTAATGTCATTCTGTCCCTGAGGCCAAAATTAAATCCAAATTGATCACAAATCCTTTTACTTTATTGTGTCATTTAGAAAATCCATTCACAATTATTCATTCATTGTACGCTTTTTAATTAAGTAAAAATAATAGAACTGTTAAAAGAAGGTGTGTCTCACCTTCAGACCTCCCCTGGGAAGATTTAACAGCCCCCCCCGCTTCACTTAAAGAGCACTTTGGAAACGTATCACCCCCAAGTTCTACGATTTTTCACCACAAGGGTTTGCACTCAAAATATTCTTATGATAAGTAAGAAAAACGCAGCTCCATGGCATAACATAGAGCCCACTATAGACACTGTTTTATACTATTATTAAAACATTTGTATTTATATTTCTTTCTCTTACTTAATTAAAGCCTACATCGTATGCTGAACATCTTCTCCACCAAACCATACATCATTTAAATATGTCAATTAAAAACTGAGAAATAAAAAATTCAAATATAGCCGAAGTGACTGTAAATCCGATCAGCGTGAGGCCGGACGCGCTCATATGATCCAGATGCTCAAGCTTTGTATGTAACGTCACTGAAGGCTGCATCAGGACCATCGGCTCAAAACGAAAAGACATATACAGTACAACAAAACTTGGATAAACTCATCATAGTAGTCTACTAAAAAAAAACTGCTCAGCGTGTCACTCACACGTCTGCATGAATGTCATCCCTGCCCCTCTGCCGTATCACAGTCTTACCTCGGACTCATGTCTGGTGCTCTGGCCGTATGTCTGCTCTCCTTTTCGGCATTCCCTCATTTAGGACCTCCGCAGTTTCCGCCGAGTCCGACTCTCTCTCAAGAACTCTCTTCCGCCTAATTTTGCAGCCCTCTTGTCTCCCGGTTTCCCCCGTGTTTTCACCCTCTTCCGTGCACTGGCTATCTCACGTGTTAACAAGACAATCTGACACTTCAGACGATCCGGGGTCCGGTCGGACCAAACCTGCCGGAGGAGACTTTACGCGCACAGCGACACCCAATGGGGGAACTTGGCGGTAGCGAGTCCTATTGGTGTTATCAAGGAGAACATGCTGTGGAGGGGGGATTCAAATGTAGGTACGCCATGGCCACTATTTTGGGAGCACCATATAAAAAACATACAGTAAACTATAAGGCGTCAACCCCACCAATGTTATATAGTTGTATCTTTATTATTAAGCATTTACATGCCAGCTATGTGTTTAAGATTGCACTTAGGGGCTGATTTTATACACTGCATGGTTGCATCATATCATTTTGGTTGATTATATGTAAGTGTGTAAAATTTTAATTTGAAAAAAACTAAACAGTTGAACTAAAGCTGTTGGATGGATATAGTGGAGTACAATATTTCCCTCGGACATGTTGCAGAGTAGAGTACCATACATTTCTTTAGTAAATTACAAGTACCTCAAAAAAATAAACTTAAAAGTTGTAGTCTAATAAAAAGGACTGTCTCTGAATCAATTGCACTCCAACCTTTCATGCAAAATAATAATAATAATAATAATAATAAATTATAGCCATCACTTAAAAAGGCTGGATTATTTCAATTTATATAATGCTGATTCTATTGCTACTCAGACTTTAGTGTCTCCAAAAAAGTACATTTCCTAGATTTCTTTTGTACACTGTGGCAGGAGTCCTTAGCTTTCTACAAACATTAATTCTAACACCTATTTAATCTTCTGTATTTGGACGGATTATGTCAGACAGGCCTGTCTGTTATTATCCCTTCATGTCTTTTCAGAGCCATCCTGAGGAGTTTGAAAGAGCGCAGATTGAAATTGATGAAACTACTTATTTCACCATCGCTTAGGTCATCAACAGACAGCCGATGTGCTCCAGTGAAAACACTAACCGGCCTGAGGCCTATTTATGTTTGTTTTGATCACAACAGCAGCTGACAATCTCATAAAGTCTGAAATTATCCGAGTTCATGGTGCTGGTGTTTCATTGAAGCGATCCGAGCCACCCCAAGATCCCATTAGAGTGGAGGAAGGTATTGTCTCTCACTTCCATGTTCCCATGATGAACTGTTGATAACCTCCCAGACAGAGGTAAGCAGAGCTGTGCGGGAGAATGGAGACGTTCTATCAAGGATGTGACAGCGTGTTTCGATTCATGGTCCGAAATAGTTTTTTCCACTTAAGGGAACACATAATACTATCATTATGCTGCGTGTCAGGTCATGTCTTAACAAAGGTTGATTTCTTTTTTGATTTAATTTACATTTTTATGCCCCTTGTATTTATCTGATTATTATATTTGATGTGAATAATTGCCATCAAGATATATGATGGATTACACCCATTCAGATTTAAGGTTTGTCTTGAAAGTTTGCATTTTAATCTGGGAAATCTGTGAGGGTTTTGGTGTAATTGGCACTCCATGTGCCTGCAATAGCCTCATAATAACAGGGGGGGAATTGTATGAAGTGCGACAACATGCCGTTACTCAGGTTTTACTCAATTCAAACAATGTCACATGGCATTCTGACTTCATAGGGTTCAAGGGTCAAAGCCTAGACTGTGAGTAGTTTACAAAAGCATCATGACCAATAAATAACAAACTTTCAGGCCACATGTTGCTTGGACCTCCATAACAACACGCAAGGAGGGGTTACAGCCAAGAATGATAGCTCCCGAGGACCAGACACATAGACGTGGTGTCTGATAGCAAAACCAGCACACAGCTAGGATACTTAAGTATGGGTTAAAAGCAGGTAAAATAGTTTTGATATGTTAACGTTGGCATGTAAAGTATATTTTATATAGTGAGTTGTTTTTTAAAGTATGATACTATAAAAACTTAATATCAGTTTCTTTGTGTTTCTCTGGGTACAGCTGTTGTCTTCCCAGAGAAACTTTATCTCACTAATCAATCAGCCTCCAGAGGCCTGCGCTGGACATTAAACTCCAGCCTGTCAAAACACGGTTTCACATACCGTGATCTGGAGCGCAGCAAACCTGAAATGCTGAACTTTTAATGAACTGAAAAAAAAGCCTTCAAATTGCTGGTTGTAAGCAATGATTAAATTAAAGCTGCGAGCGCCAAGCTCCAAACACAGCTCAGGGAGCCCATCCCAGAGACGTGTCTACTTCCCCAAAGGCCAACACTCGGTGGGGAACCAGAGCTGGAGATAAGGCAGGCTGGACCGCTAAATCCCCTAACAGTCTGCTGTCACCCTCTAAATCACACACCTTTCCCACCATCTCTCCAAGCGTGAGCGTTGCAGGTTTTACATGTGATATATGTCTTGCAGAGGCTTTGTGGGTCGGATATGGAAACACAATGAGGCGCTGAATATTTTTGAATGACTGCAGCCAACTTTATCGAACATCTGTGAACAGATATGCTGCAGGGTCGCCATGTCTCCAAGGCCACAACCACCTCGTTTCAATTTAGGTTTCGAGTGACGAGTATTGCAATCACCTTAGTATATTGCTCCGTTTCTGTCTGCCATCACAGAGACAGAGCAAGACTGGACGATAGACAGGACAGTCGAAAAGTAATCTTAGCACCTCGGAACAGACCCTCTAGGTGTAATGTCCCGCACTTTTCTCGACTACTCACACAAGGCCTTTTTGCTCTCCCCTCTTTCTTTCATTCTCATCAATCATCCCTCTTTCCTTTTTTTGTGTCTTCCCTTCCAGCGGACATGGCCACACAAATCTCCAGATGCTTGCTGTGACCGCCCCACCATACCAGACACACACCCCTCCAGCTCCGGATTCCCTTCACCACCAAAAATTGAACCGTATATAGGCTCAACATTTACACACAGACCTCCCTTAATTCATCGTAATCAGCAGTTTTGCGACAGCTTTAGAGCACAGCCGTGCAAGGCATGTCATTTGAATGTGCAGAGCTGTTGTGCGTGTTCGGTGGCTATTCTCGTTCACCCATCTGCTGGTGATGGACAATTATCGCGCCATGATTAGAGCCAGATCAGAAATACTTGATTTTTTTTTTTTTTTTCACAACGGCCAATATGTCTACATGCAAAATAGTTTCTGGTTTTGAGAACACTCACATAATGCTGAAGTTGTGCAACTTGACTTTTCATAGCAGAGGGATACGGACTCACTCTTTGGGTTACTGTGAGTATAGAAAATATTGTTATCAGCTGACAAAACAGTCTTACAAGGTCCAATTAGTAGCTCTTCTGGAGCTTTTGATCGTATCACAGAATCTTCCTCAGCTGATGAAGCTGCCCAGGTGTGTTGAGATTGTTGTGTCAACTGCTGTTTCCAAGGTCAGGAATGAACTTTTAACTTTGACTATAACAAACTCCTGACTATAAGAAGCTGTAAACACAACACTGACTGATATCATCACCTTTTGAGTTCATATGGCGAACTGGAGTCGTGTTTCTGGCCACCTGGTGAATGTAAATCCAATGTTCACTCTCCTTCTGTGGTTTGATCTCCATCACCTCCTGAGGGAACTATCTGGCTCATCAGCAGCTAAATGCTCCACTATGTTCACGAGCTAGTTGTCAACCTTGTCTGTGTACTGTTTGGAGCAGAGCAGGTAGTCTATAGTTGGTTTGTAGAGATTTTTTTGCCAAAAACAACTTCTTGCTGTGTACAAAAACGATGCTGGTGAGAGCAGCAAGACTGAACCAAAAGCTGAGACCAGAGAAGCAAAACAATGACTTGAAAGATGCTAAAAAGCTTCATAAAGCTGCAGTGAGTCAGGCGATAGCTCTCTGTCGGTTTATGACTACCAGTGATCCCTTTTATATATATGAGATCCATTGTTGATATGGAAATATTGCCTATGGCCGCTTTAAGTTTTTGGGAACTGATCGCAGCTCAAATATCTGCAATAACATGAAATGAGACAAGAAAATGACCCTTTAGCAAGTACACCATCTTATTGATGTTTAATAAGATAAAGGTCAAGCAATGCACACAACCGTGTTTACTAGCATGGCCTTGTTCGCTTAGTCCTCCCTTCTCTTGCTCTACAGTGTGGGTATGTGACTCTGTATAAATGTGTAGAGGCCAGTCCAGCGGCCGTCTGTGCAGCACGTGGCTGTCCAATGCACGGTCTCTGCTCCCTGGTCTCTCCTCATTAGCCTCACACAGTGCAGCCATTCCCCTC